GGCACGTCACCATGATTACAACACTCACAGCTGCCGCGTGTAAAAAGGTGGAGCCAGAAGACTTTAAAATCAGTGACCCAGTGTGAAGTGTCTGCAGATCTTGGCATAGGAACAGCCCAAAGCTTCAGAAAATAGACAAGCTTGCTTCTCCTGAGTGGCCATTCTTGGCAGCATGAAGAGAGAGTCAGTGATGCCCCCCAATGAAGCAGCTCTGTTGTTACTCAGGGGCTCATGGGACATAATCTGAAGAAAAGCATAGGGTGTCTATGAGTAGATCACAGAGTAGAAGCAAACTTCCAAACTTATTCTGTTTGAATGCATTTGACTTAGTGGAATAATTTCCCTCCCAAATAAACACCTTGGTCTGCCTCTGGATACAGACCAGGGGACTGGCTCCCAAGAGAATGGTTAGGAAGGCACAACTGAAAACATTGCCAATGGATGTGGCCTGCGAGGTGAAAAGGAACGTGGGTGGCGGAGATGACGTGTTTGTGAAGAAGGGAGCAAGTGAGGGCTTCATGATTCAGTCCCGAGGAATGTGTTCAGTAGGAGTGCACAGAAGCACAGGTGGCTGCGTACTTTGAGCGAAAAGTTGGCACCAATTGCGTAAGTCTTGTTCACTGAGTGATGCTAGCATTTCTTCTTCCCACATCTTCCCATCGTGCTGAGGTTCCTAGGCCTTTCCTTCCTTTTGAGCGGTATTCTGAGGAACTTGGTGGTGGCACAGGAAGCAAACATCTCCACCTACACCTCACAAAGGATCAGGTATTCAAGGAGCAGTGTACAAAGAACAGGCCCTGAAGTATGATGTGGTCACCAGCAGCAAAGTGAGAAAGGAAAGTGTGTAGAGGAGGCAGAGCTGGCAAGAGGGATCAAGGCTGATGGAAGGAACCAGTTCTGGTGGGGAAAACCCTATGTGGTAGATGGAGTTGGGATGGGAGATAGGAGGAGGGGCCAAGGCTGTGATGGAGATAGGAGGAGGGGCCAAGGCTGTGATGAGATAGGAGGAGGGGCCAAGG